CCTCCTCCTCCTCCTCCTCCTCCTCCCCCTCCTCCGCCTCTTCCCTTCTGCTCCTATTTGAGTGGTCTAATCGGCGCTGTTGTTCAATTATGGAGCTGTATCTCCCCCGTCTCCTCCTCCTCCTCCCCCTCTTCTTCCTCTTTCTCCTGCTGCTGTTTCCCTCCTCCTCCTTCCCCTCCTCCTCCTCCTTTGTCGTCTTTTCCGTTTGATAGTGTTGAGAAAACAGATGAAGTCAGCTCAAAGAAGTTGCTACAGTCTTCACCCGAACAGAACACCCGGTCATTATCGCTGCATCTGAACCGAAAGTTGTGCCAAATACAGCTATAATGACCGGGCGTTCTATTCGGTTGAAGACTGAAGGCTTAGCTCAGCTGAGTTCCTTGTCGTCGTATTTGACAAAGCTCAGAAACAGGATGGCATGAGTACAATGCCGCCCATATGGCTGGATGATGGTACACACCTTTTGTGTAACTATTGTTCAAGAGATCATGAGTTCGAATCCTGCTGTAGGGGCTACCTCCTTTCTATTTTCCTTTAAGCCACCACAACCCCGGTCGGAGAGTACTTTACGCGCTCACATAAGCGGAGGGGTCATCACCGATGCGGGCAAAAAATAAGAGTGCCGGTTCAAGGAGCGGCGACAAATTCCACCAGGAATGCAGACACGAGTAGTTTCCAACGAAAGTGTAAAGTGTGAAATCGAGTTACAGACGAAAGAGGGGAAGTAATGAAAGAGGGGAACCAACGGGTGTAGCTCAGCTGGGGCGTGGTCCCACTAGCAAAGAGGATCGGATCGAACGCCTGAATCTGGACTTGTTTGTAGAGAGGCGCAGGAAATCGAGATTGAACTGCTTTTCTGCATCTCTGCATAAAACACATCCAGATTCAGGCATTCGATCCGATCCTCGTTGCATAAACACATCCAGATTCAGGCATTCGATCCGATCCTCTTTGCTAGTGGGACCTCGGCCCTGGTACACGCATGAATTGTTGAAATACGGACCCAAGTTCGAATCAACATACAATCAGATGAACTGACTAAAACCATTGTGAAGTTATAATACAAACTGCGACTTCAAAAAAAAAAAAAAAAAAAACATTCTGAAGTGCCTGGGGGCCGTCATCTCAAG